TGGGAAATTAGAAGAGTTCAAGAAATCTGCCCCAGGTTAATCAAATACATCGAAGGACTCAGAAAAAAAAATTACTGAAAACATACAATGTGAAACACAACAAATGAATTAAAAACAATGCATTTATGCATCACAAGAAATGTAATATATACACATTTAACAAAAGAAAGGAATTTTAAAATTAAAAGATTCTGAGATGTTCCAAATGCTGACAGGTGACATCCTGTTGGAAATAATTTTCCCCATGTTCTTTAGATTAAATTGAGGTGCAGCACATTTGCAAAGGTCCTGTTGCATCTGCAGGTGGGAGCCTCAGCATAAACAGAAGGAATACCTTTCTTTTATCCTCTCAGTCCTAAGAGAAAGTTCCACTGATACCTAAACATCATACTGATCTATTTCATTTTACCGTTCTGTCTGTAGCAGATGAGCTTCTGCCTGTGTTTCTGTATTTTATGTGATCATTTTCAATTCATGGTATACTGGCATAGCACTTTGCAGTAAAGCAACTGAATGCTTCACTATGTCCTCCCCTGCTTGATCTCCCCTAACCCCCTGCCCTTTGCTGCATAGTCCCTGAGCTTCGTTATTTTTCCATTCATTTCTGGCAAGAGCATATAATTTTCCTTTCACAAACTGAAGGAAAGAGACACAATTTCTGAGAAGAATACTGGAAATGAGTCCTCTCTGTCTGTCTACACTTTGCTGGAAGAACTGGTATCACATACAGCAATTATTGTGAAGTTTGGGTATCTTCCATCTATGTGCTGTATCTCACTAAAATAAATGAAAACCCTTAGTTAATGACATATGATCCCTGGTGTTCACACTTTCCTCTCACTGCAAGTGAGCTCTTTTCCAGTTCACATTTAAAATCATCAGTCTTTCATTCCATAACTACCCTTGTTCCTTCCAAAGTGCTGAGGCAGGGCTCGTGTTTAAAGGATAATCACTCACCTCCTCCAGCCCTGGAACCTGCTTCGCTGCTTGCTGTGATGCTGACTGCTACAAGAGCCCAGCAGTTTCCTCAGCTCAGGAGTTCCTTTGAATGTTTTGAAAACTTGCAGAAGCAAATTAATATTGTCACCAGCTATATGCCCACATATCAGATGGATGAAGTGGCAGAGTGCAGACTTAATGCGACGCTTCGTCATCAACAGTGGTGCAAAGAAATTCTCCTGGTTTACTCAAACTGACTAATATCAACTGAATTTTTCATTTATTTAATAATAAAGGCAGAGTGCAAGCAAGCCTAAAAAGGTAAAGCACGCAGTTTTGTTGCTCCTTGGTGCTGTAAATCCCAACTGGCGACAAGCAATGTGGCCCGTGGGCTGGCACTAGCCCTCACAGCTATAGCTGGCAGACTCTGATGCTCACAGCTGAAGGCAAGGTGGGTCAACCAACCTTAGGAGAGACAGTGGAAACCTCTGGGCCTGTGGGACTGATTCTTTGACTTTTTAATCTAATACAGTCCCCAAAATGGAGCCAGGAGAATGCCTGTACTCCTTACGGGGAACATGTAACTGGGTGTGGATATATCCAGGGTTTTTTCTGTATGCGTGCACACACCTGTTCACTGTTTCCCACTACCATGGATCACAGAAACAGCTTTAAGTCTGAGTTCCCTCACATATTTAAATATGCTAAATAACCATTTTGTTTAGCACATTCAATAATAATTTGCACATTTGATGTATGAATATCTGCAATCAATACACAAACGAAGTTGTGGCTTACTGTTTCAATCTGTGCCTTCAAGCCAAGTAGATTCATCTGTTATCTAGATTTCTCTTCAAAAACATGGTGTATGTATTACCTTCAACATCAAACTTTGGTTTTTCTGCTAACCTCCACTTATTTTCTGAAGTTATTTTTTCTTGTTGTGATTAGGGAGGAACCTTCTACCATAGCCAAAATCAATCCCTTGGCACCATCTATGATCTTCTGTTATTTTAGCTATGTAATAATGATTTTCTCATTTCTCCAATCATCTGTTGTTCTGAGAAACATTTGTGCTCTGCTCAAAGGTTTAGAAATGCTGTAACACTGACATTTTTGAGCAGGAGAGACAAGGCTACTGCTTTTTTTTGCTGTAACACTTTTATCATTCCTTGTTCTATGGCACAAATTCAAGAAGTAACATGAAGAGAGCTATCTTAGGCAAGTACAGTCTTGTCCAGAAATAAACAGAGAAATAGATGAGCACAAAGACTGTTCTATAAACCATTTAACAATTGTTTATAACAACAGCATTAGGTTTCATAATTAAGCATGTGATCATTAAAGACAGTACTTTAAAACACAGCAATAGAGGTACAGGGGCATCAGAGGTCAAACTGGACATAGACAAGGCCACAGGGCAGGCCTAAAAAAAATAATGAGTTCTTCAGAATGTGGAACAGTGACGTAGAAGAAAAAATTATCTTTTCCGGGAGAGAGAAAGGGAAGATCTTAAAGCAGTAGTCAGGTAGGAACTCGTGTAGAAATGCTATCATACCTTTTGTCCCTAGGGAAGTAAACCTAGACCTTGATTCACAACAGCTGTTGTTCTAGACCTTGAAAGCAAGATGAGAATAAGGCAAGATGACTTGTCTAAGCAAAACTATGAAATCCTAGACATCTTCGCAGGGATGTGGAAGAATAGATGCAGCTGAGTGCACAGCTGACTACTTGCCACCGTCTACTGTGACAACTTGTTTTAGTAACGATAGAGACACATGCGTAGAGATTAGAGATACACAGCTCTGACATGTACACCTAAATAAAAGCTCAAAGATGTAAGATACTCATTTTGAGCCTTCTGTGATCTGATTTGTTGACCTTCACAGTAAGTGACTGCAGAGAAGAGGCTAACACTAAAAGAGAGACTAGCTGAGCAGGTATTGTTTAATTCAAGCTAAATGAAGGCTGCAGTGCCACATCTCTATAAAGTTACTTGAGTATGTCTGTATCAGATCAGAAAATCAGCTACATTCAATCATTTTCTGATCTGCTGTTTACTGTTGTGGAGAAGGGGTTTATGAGATGCAATGTGTTTCTTTTTACAAATACAGTCTGACAGGGTGACTTACCTTCTGAAGCAGCTCTTTATTCTTGTTTCTTTTTAGGTAACTAGGGAAGAAAAGCTGTCCAGGAACTGTCATGATAAACAAAGTACATACTTCTGAGCACCTAATTAGAAGTACCGTTTGCTACTTTGTACAGGCTTTGGGTCTGCTTTGTGCAGTTTCAGATTCCTTCTTTGTCTTCCCTTAGCATGCCTCTAGCAGCACCCATAATGCTTTGGGGCTCTGGAGAAAGACGCAGCTGATAGCCGGGGGCCATGTTCCTCAAGGAACAGGACTCTTAACTACCATTCCAACCACCTCCTCATGTGGTCTGCAGTGAGACTTCCAGTACATATCCCATGCCACCTCCATGGTGCACGCTTTTGTCCACATAGATAGCACATCTCTGCAAAAGTATGGCAGCACAGGCATGTATTGGAACCAATTATGTTTTTCCACCACCAACAGGAGACTGCCCTCTCACATGATAGAAGATGTGACATCCGGAGTAGCAGTCTGCCTATCCCCACATCACCCCATGATGAGAACCAAAAGTCATCCAAGTGGCCTGTAGGGTTAGCAAAGCAGCACCCGTGCTTACGCTTTGGCTTGCTCAGGAAACATGCTACCTTCCTCACACACGTGAAAACCTGCTCTAACACTCTTCAGCCCAACACTGAGTCTAGCTTGGGAACTGTATTGTCTCGTACAGTAGATCTCTCCAGGACAGAAGGTTGGCATGGGAGTCATCTCCTGATGAATTGTCCCAGGCAGAAAGGAGAAGGGTTGGCACCAGCTTCCTGATAAGAATAACTCTGCCCATTTCACAAACATCCTTATATGTCAGCTGGGCACTTGATTCAGGTCTGTCAGGGATGATCTTGATAGAAGAGGTTACCAGAACAAGGTACCTACTGTCAGCAGAGTTTTATTTCTTCTGGGGACCCTACACCTCTGGAGTGGTTTTGCAATGGGGAACTCCCCATCGGGACCTTCTGCAAGAGGAACCTCTGGACACTGCCTGTCTCTCACAATGCCTTTTGGCTTTGGCAGTCTAAGTCCAACTAGAAACTGGACATTTCAAAGTATTTGGGGGACCTGAAAAATAGTCCTTTCTGGCGCTTTGGTGACTTTGAGCTGACTGTGGGCTATTGTGACCATGGACTATTGTTTTCCAAGGCCTGGCTGCAAGAGCTGCTTCTTTATAAGTAGCTATTGTGAGGGAGGAAAGCAAAGGCATTGTGTCCTGGACAGTAATAATGATCTAAGTCTTCTTCCTCATTATCTCCAGAAGGAGAGAGAAGTATCTTTTTCTGTGTGGTTTGATTTTGTAAAGGCCTGACTGGTCAGAGTGACTACTCATATGAAGTGGCTACCACTCCAGTGTGACGGAAGAGAATATCCACTGAATAACCGATGGCTGCCCGCGTGCAGCTGCCGCAGCCTCCCGTGCCAGCAGGGCCCATTTGCAGAGTGACCGCGCGGCAGGAACTGCGTGGAAGTCACGCTGCGTTCTGGGTAGGCAACAGTGAGAGAGTACCTTCCAACCAACTCGTACCAGCTGCTGACAAAAGACAGTAGCAACCCCCCAGTTTTGATCTGACACATGCTGGATATATTCAGTTCTGGAAACCCGGAAAGAAGGCTCTTTTTTAATAGTATTTGTTTTAATATGATGTGCCTGCTGTAAATATATTGGTTTGAAAAGATGATGCTTACCTGAGAGGCTGCAGCGTGCTGAGCCCTGCATAATAGATGAGAAAAAGCTTCCTTTTTCTCAAAGGCAGTCTGAAATTAATGCACTCTACAGGCCAGACATAAAATACACAGGAACAGCATCATGCTGGAAATATTTTGTCTTTGTTTTTGTCTTTACTATCTCTAATATATACAACCATTTATATATATACTTTATATATATATATATATATGAACCAGCGCAATAAACAGCTGTCCAGAGCACATTTGCTTCCTGACAATCTCATCTAAGCTTTCCTTACTGATCTGTAGCTCTTCCCAAGGATTTATGACATGGCATATCTGGTGCAAATTATTTAAAACTCAGTCTGATATAGAAATATTGTTGTCTTTCCTGCTGTATTCATACCCAGATTTGTCTAAGTATTGTTCAGACATGCTTGGCGATCGTTTCAAATCTAATATTTAGCAAGAAAGAAACCAGCTGGAAGGGACACAAATGGAACAGTTCTGCAAGGTCTGAAAATTTTACTCACTTTTTAGGCAACAGTGTGAAAAAAAAAAAAAAGAAGTGATTTTGCCTCCTTGCCTTACGTAGTTGAGTGTGCAAAGCCACAGGTTGATCCCACAGCTGTGCCTGGGAGTGCAGTCCTTAAGCAGAAACAGGAACCCTTAACACAGCCTCTCCTGCAAAAGGTTATGTCTGTGTTTGATACTTGTGATTTTGAGAACAGTTTTAATGGAAGAAAATCGGCACTGTTTGTTGACCCAGCAGCAGGTAAGGATTTTAATCTCTGTCAGTTCCCTTTACCAGCTGGGCAAGGAAAGCAAAATAAATGAAATGCTCTGTAACAGATGGATCAAAGAGAAGACAACAATCCGTACCTATTAGGCCAAATAAGAAGGAGCTGTTAGAAGCTTCCATAAGCCTATGGGTTCTGTTATATATAAGCGGCTAATGAGTTCTTACTTGCCACATAGGTTAGAAGGGATTCAGTGGGCCATGGAGACTGTAGCCAGTCTCACTGTGCATTACAGAACCCCATTCATGAGCTCAGTTTCTAAAACTTACATTAAACTTACACTTTTGCTGTGTTAATTCCCTGCATAGCTTTCTCTAATCTTGGTCCTTGGGGCTTTATCACCTTTTATTTTCTGGCTAAATTAATTTCTGGTCAGTTTGAGCACCTTTGGTTTTATGCAAGTGTTACCCTTTAGCTCACGATCTTTTCCTCCTTGAAGTATTTTTAAACAGCAGCATGTACCCTCCTTCCAGCCCTTGTTTTATTAGATGAAACAAACCACGTTCTCTTAAATTTTCCCTTTGGCAGCCCTTCTTTGCATCTGTTTTAGTCTCAGTATCTCTTTCTCTAATATCAGTGACCAAAACTACAATTACATTGAACTGCTGCTGCCTCTGCCTGCTGCAATAGAATCAGTATCTTCGCATCACTGCTGGAATGGACACCGACAGGAAATATCCTAAAATCAGTGATCAGCTTCAGCATTTACAAGTTTTATTTTCTTTCCTTTGGTAATGAAACCTCCTTCAATTAAGATCTCCTTCTGCATAGATAATTAGAAACTAAGAGACGACCTAGAGACCTTTTCTTTTTCTGACTTTGCATAAAGGGACATTATTTTATGTCTATACCTTTTAATCTCCTGGTCTGGACTCTTTCTTCCTGCCTTTCAAAATCAGAGGACATAATGCCAGTTTTGCAAAGTTTTGACATTATCACTGTGCTGGGTCGAGGTGGGATGGAGCTCATTTTCCCCGCAGCAGCTCTCATACAGCTGTGCTTTGCATTGGCAGCTAGAAAGGTGTTGATAACACACCAGGGTTTTGGCTGCTGCTGAGCAGTGCTCGCACAGCAGCAAGGCTGTCTCTCCAGTGTTTACCCCTCAGCAGTAGGCTGGGGGTGGGCAAGATCTTGGGAGGGGAGATAGCCAGGACAGCTGACACAAACTGACCAAAGAGATATTCCATACCATACGACGTCTGCTCAGCAATAAATGCTAAGAGAAAGGGGCAGGTGGGAGGATTCATCATTATGACTTCTCTCTTACGGAGCAACCGCTATGCGTACTGAAGCCCTACTTCCCAGGAAGCACCCGGACATCGCCTGCTGATGAGAATTAGAGAATAAATCTGTTTTCCTTTGCTTCCATGTGCAGGTTTTACTTTTGCTTTATTGAACTGCCTTTATCTTGACCCACGAGTTTGTTTCCATCTTGTTTTGTCCTCCCCCTGTCCCGCTGAGGAGAGGAGTGATAGAGCGGATTGGTGGGCACCTGGCATCCAGCCAGGGTCAACCCACCATGATCACTTTCTACACTAAAGCGCGAACTTCCCAATTTTTCTTTCCAGGATGCAAACCTGGCACATTTCAAATGGGGATACTCATCTGGGCAGATAAACCTTGTTGTCTTCTTTAACTTCATGAGTAACCTGGAACAGTTATCTACTATCTTGTGATTTCTTATTCTAGATTCAGAATTCACATTGATACCTCATTTTTTCAGGTTTGTTCACATTTTCCTGGCCAAGGAATTCCCTGGTGCATTGATACACATCCTTATTTCTGTAGCTGTGACTGCTGACTCAGTTTCAGTTTGTTAACTGGATAACCGCACAGCATTCCCAAGGGTACTTCTTCCAAGCAGGATTCCTTTAACGTGACATTCTGCATTAGATTATTCATTCTCCCACTCTTAGTTTTACATTTTCATTCTTCAGAGGCACTTTTATCATTCTAATCTATTTTATTCTCAAACTCATGCTGCACTGAAATCCTGTTGTTCAAAGTGTTCATGATCCCTCCTAGGTGCACCTGTGAAGAGAATGACCATGTTCTTCAATCCATCCGAATGGTTAGTTAAAATACGCTAGTATTTGATCCAGCACTAATCCCTCTGCTCCCTATCAATAAACCCCCTTAATTTAAAATTATTTTTCCTTATTTAGCCAGTCCTGATCCCTCTGTAGTTTTCCTTATTCCAGTTTCTTCTATTAAAGTATCATGTGGGATTCCACATCTAATGCTTCAGTGAACCTCCTGAAAATAGTTTTTCATTATACACAGTGCTGTGGGAACACATTCATGATAGCTGGGATTCCTTGCAAACTGCTAACATTTTTTTCTTTAAAGTAACTAGAACCTGATTAAAGCTAGCATGATAAAACTGTTGCGCCTGCACATTTTAAAGTGCTTTAGAGGGGAGAGCAAACTCCTAATTAGTGCCTGATAGACGGTGCAGCACTTGCAACCCTGAGGATCAGAGTGCTGTTTGAAAGGATTCAATGCATGCATCTTGTGAATTTATACACACGGTGGCCTAAACCAGTCTGAATTAATTACTCTATAGCTCAGCTCAGTTCCATGTGTGCTTTTAAAAGCCACACCTAAGGAAAAAGAGCTGTAGGGGAAGCTAATTTGAGATACTCTGTATTCATTCAGAAGGCGGGCAGCTTTCCTGGTTTACATTCCCTAATCAGCTCCTAGTGTAATGTTAAATTTATCCATGAGAAGAGTAGAGAGTCCTTGGAGAACTTCTCAATGAAGAAAAATGCTTATATTATGGCAAACAAACGACATTCTCCCTGCAAAGCCCAGTTCAGTGCACACACCTACCCCGCTGTCTGAACATCAGTAACTCACTGGTTTTATGTGTATACAAATTCAGGGGAAATGTTATCACTTTGTTCACTACGGGTAAGTGTTTTCTTAAATAAATGCCAATCCCCAAAAGCTATGACCGGAAACTTATGAACTCGGAATAATGCCTTTGGTAGCCTTAAGGATGATGTCATGACTCTGCTCTTTGCCAGGGGAAGTAGTAGTGTACTATGCGTGTTGTTACGTGAGACTATCCTATATTGTCTAATTCGACTTAAGATGCTGGCAACACACCTTAACGCTATACAAGGTGCCTTGATCAACATAACACTGACACTTCTTTTTTATACGCCTAAACCAATGGGAAAGGCGTGGTCTCCTGTTATTCTTTTCTCAGTTCTTAAGTGATTGGAACAAAGAATGGAAATAATAAAGTACAGTTGCACCAAGATCATAAATCTTTTTTAGTATTTTAGTGTTTTCATCACCCTATTCAAGGAACTACTTCTGCTGTTTTGTTTTTTGTTTTTTTTTTTTTTTAAATAAATGAACAGCATACGTTCTTTCACTCCCTATCTTTAAATTGCTGTAGCTTTTTAACTTTTCTTTCTCACCATTTCTCCTCTTCTCCCTTCCTGACATGATGAATGAAAAAGGCTTCTTTAGTCCTTACACGCCGAGAATTTGTTTGCCTCAGGAACAATTTAAAAAGCACGAAGGCTACAGTTTATGCACTAATGACACTTCTAGCTTCACCGGCAAAAACAAGCCAGAGAACTGAGGGAGCACCAGAGAAGTACGGATATCCGAGTAAAATGACACAGGTAAAAAGTAAAAATACGTCAGATTAAAAAAAGAACAGCCCAAATGAAATGTTTTCTTGCACAGTCACAGAATACTATGCGGTGGCTCCCAAGATAATGAAGGATCTCAGCTGTCTTCCTCAAAGTTCCTTTCCTAAAGGCAGCCTAACAACATCTGCAATGTTTTAAGACCACAAGCACAGAAGGTGACTATCAAAGTAAATGTTATTTTAGTAGATAAAGCAACAGCAGGTGATTAGTCCCAAAAGGCAAAGTGACAAATGCACTGTTTTTCGGTGAAACTGTACATTTAATCTACTGCATAAACCATACATTTAACCTAGAAAATATTATGATGTACTGTAGCTGTCTACTAAGAGGCAAAAACTCACCCAGAAACCTGCCAAGCAATCCTATTAATGGGTACAGGCCCAACATGTGACAGCAGCTGTGCCTGCCTCAAATTCCACTGCAGTCACACTGTTTCGAAGAACTCATGTGTACCTTCTTGTTGAAAATGTGTAATTGACGTACTACATCGTCATAGCTTACCACACCGCCCTTGTTGACATAAGCAGTAAATTGTCGAGGAATGAGCAGGAAGATCGTGGTAAGCTCTAAATGTTCACTTCATGACTCTAAGGGAATTTCGAGACGATGCATATATGAACGTTAGAAGGCAAAAGGAAACGCCTATTTTACTATTTCATGCATCAGCTGCTAATTTTCTTCTGGACTTAAGAGACACCTGAAGTTTGGCACCCAAACCTGAAACTTCTGGAGCAAGCTTCTCACTTGCGTGAACTATTTCAAGATTTTACTTCCTTTATCCTGTGACAGGAATAGCTGCTCAACTAAGTTTTGGGGCTTGGGATTCTTTTCAAATAATGAATGAACCAATCTGAAGTTATCCCCATAAAAACAATAAGCAGCAAGTCCTAAAAAGATCAGTTAAATTTGATAATTTAATATGCCACTTATAGTCATCCAAACATCTTACTCAATACCGTTATGTACAAAACCCACTGAAAATAAAAAAAAGAATTTAAATGTTATCTTTCGAATGTAAAAGTGCAATTAACACCGGCAAAGTTTTTTGTAAGGACGTTACATTTCTATTAAATTCACTGGCTGCATAAGAGCCTAACAGGTATATTGCCTACACCAAAATTAATGACGATTTTTTTTTTTTTTTATTAATTTTGAATTAGCCTGGTAGTTGATAAATAGTTTTACTGCCACCATAATTATGGTACATACATCCAAAAATGCATAGCACAATTGTTTTCATAATTTTCAGTTTTACTGACTTTAAGAAACTTAACGAGAGCAACAGTAAGATCCGTAACATTCAAAAAATAATTAACACCATAAAACCTTGTATCAAGTAAGAGTGCACAAAACAGCCATCCTGAACTGCTTTCTCCAGAATTCTGACAGGTTTCCAAATATCTTATTTACCCCCAATAAAAATTCTCCCTTTACAGTACTGAATAGATTTTCTGGAACAAGATATACATTTATGATCTTTCATGCATTACATATTCACAATTTGGAAAGAAATGGAAAGCCTTCATACATGTCAGCCTTTAATCTTATCCAGTCCTGAAGTCTCTGCAAAGCTCTTTTTTCCTGTGTTAATATTTTTGCAGCTTTTCTCAGTTTTTCTTCATTTCGTTCTAAATAACGAATTCCATCTGTCTGCAGCTGATTGAGTTTCTCTTTCCGACTTTCATCCAGAGGTATGTCTTCATTCATAAGAGGGTTAAATCTGAAATAAGTATCTGGAGGTAACAGTGCATCCAGCATGGTGTGAACTTCTGCATTGAAAACAAACGAAGGGAACGGTTACATTTACACGAGAGAGGCAAATGGTCCTACAGTCTGCACCCCAAATGCTCTGCAGTGACACAGTAAGCGTAAACGACGTGTGCTACTTTGCCAAGCAAACGTTTTTTTAACATTGCCTTATCAAAAACCCTTTCTCATCAGAAGGTTTGCAAGTGACCCTGTAGCTTTGTTTACTCTGGAAAAGCTTCATCTGTTACTCTAAGACAACTTCACTAGTTTAACAATTAAGACGGCTTTGCAGCTATCCAGATTTTAATTACATGTACGTTCCACTCCTTTACAAGTGAGAGTGCATTCTGAAGAGGAGGAATAACATACATATTCCCGTTCAGGATACCCATGACCTGTTACATGCAGTACTAATGAAAGTGGGTATTATGAAAACGACGGCCCTAACCTCAAGGACTGCAGGAAAAATGATGTAGGTTTAAAGCTTTCTTTTGTTTTCAACTAAGTATTTTTTTATATATTACTACAGATTTGGGTTTAATTTTAAATGTTCAAGTTAAATTATAACAGTTAACTAGTACAATAACAAACTGGCTCTGTAACATATTTGTATGTTCCTCTCTCCCTTTTTTCCTCTCTTTTATAACCTATTGCCCCTCTCCTTTTAGATCTTCGTTGGTTCCCTTAAAATTCCATTTCCATGACTTCCTTGATCCTTCATTCTCTTTTATTTCCATCTTCTTTGCATTCTTACCACGCTCCTCCATACTTTTAAACATCTACTGTTATATAAAAATTTTTAAGTGAAAAAATATGGGTAAGAGAATGGCAAAAGATTCCTCTTAACTTGAGATCTTCTCTGCTTGGTCCCTCCTCCTGTAGATTACTCAGCTGTGTCCCTGTTTTGGCCTCACCACATCCAGTCTTTCTTGCTCTATTTAATACTCTCCCCTTTTCCCTTCATACATTAACTTCCCATTTGCTCAAATCTACTCTCCCCTGTTTCCATTTCCTCTCCTTTGGTCTCCGCAATGAACTTTCCTTTCCCCCTCTTCCCCGTCAAATTTCTTGCCTGATTTTTCAGCTGCAATGAAACTACTTCTTCCCTTGATAGAAAGTGGACAGCACATTTCTCCTTCCCACTATTCCCATTGCCTTTCCATGACTGTGCAAAAGGCAAAGGCAGCCCAAACCCCAGCTTTTTCATACTAATGACAGTCAGTTGACAGAGCTCATGCAGCAAGGGATCTAGACCATAAGAACGTTTCTCGTTCCCTCACTTTTTACAGTATCAGCTCCCCTTGTAAGGGGCAAGGGGAAGCATCTGCATATCAATATTTCCTGTTTATAAAAACAAAACAGATGTAAACTGCTACTGGTAGAGTTCCAGTGTACTCCCATCCTAGGAACAGAGTTTATTTTGGAAAACACATGCTTGGGTCCTTCGGACAGCAATGGAAGTCATGACCACTGGCAGATACAGTCTAGTCCTTGGAAAAGCACAGGTATAAGAGTACATACAGAAAAGAACTAAAATACTTTTTCTGAAGCTGTTGAAAACCAATCAATGTTCTGCATTAACTATTAAGCATTTCTTTTTATGGTAAAAACCAACCCAAATATAAGAAAATATGATTTTTCTATTGAAATGAATTCCCAAGTATGCCTTTATCCTGAAGCACAATAAAAACATACCACTTTGTATAAATCCTGCTGGATTATTGTTGTCATTTGGATAAATTTTAAGGTATCTTTTACCTTTAGTATACCTGTCATCAACCTCATATTAACAGTTGAGAACTCATAAACCAGAAGAGCTTAGCAAGAACATTGTGAAGATGAAGCTTCACAGAGATAAGGCTAAGAAACGCATTCATATTATGATCTCCAGAAAATCTGTAATACTGGTACTGAAACACCAGCTATCCGTAATGAGTTACGAGGAGCCAGGGTTCAAGTAGTTCCAATGGGGCAGGTGGAGAGGAGAAGGGGAAAGACAAAAAGTTGCAGGCTGCCCTCTGAATTGGAACTGTGATTCTAAGAAACATAAAAAACTGAAAACGGTCACAATACAAATGTATCTTAAGACACCAACCTTCCGTATCCGTTGCGCTGCTGATAACATTTGTGAGTTTGGCTTTCAAACTGGTGTATGTGACATTGGTCTTTCCCTCACTTTCGTATCGACCGGTGCCCAGCGATACGAGACACTGCAATGGAACGTTTGGCCAAAGACACTTGCACTCATGAACCGCCAGTGCAGAAGGATTATTTAGCAGCAGACCTCCATCCTGTAAAAATTGAACACAAATGTTAGTCCTATACGTAACATATGGTCATGAAAGAGACGGCAACTGTAAACTAAACTAGCAGAGCACTAATATACAAAATCATTGAAGTCAAACAAGCATTAATTTGCATCTTTTGTGCAACTGTTCCATTTGTGCTACGCAGCAGCTGCGTAATTGGGCTTCCCGGGTTTATGGGCAGTCTCAGAGCAGCTCCTGGGTCTGTGCTCCGTTCTGCTGTTGTGAGTATTGTCTAGAAGAGGTCGACTGAAACAGCAGCATTCACTGGAATATCTGAAGAAGTTATGGCTTCATCTTCTGAAGGCCTTTTAGCTTAAGGCAGATATGCATCTTGACAATTTCTTAAATAATAAAAAAAGTCTGCATCTCAAAATGTTTATTACTGGTATTACAAGGACATATTCTCTAACAAAATCCAAATCACCACCTGCAGATTCTAAAATAAAAAAATCACAAGAGCTAAGCTTGGCTAAAGCTACTTTATAAGCACAGGCACAGTCATTACATAGGATGCTATAGCCTGGATTTAAGACTTGGAAAATCACAGAATCATTTAGGTTGGAAGGGACATATTGAGCTCATCTGGTCCAACCCCCCTGCTCCAGCAGGGTCACCTAGAGCACATTGCCCAAGGCCATGTCCCATCAGGTGCTGAGTATCTCCACAGAGACTCCAAAACCTCTCTGGGCAACCTGTGCCAGTGTTTGACTACCCTCACAGTAAAAAAAACTTTGTGTTCAGATGGAATTTCACGTGTCTTCATGTGTGCCATTGTCTTTTTTGCTGTCAGTGGGCACTACTGGGAAGAGTACGGCTCCCTCATCTCCATTCCCTCCCATCCTTTACACATTGATAAGATCCCCCCCGAGCCTTCTCTTCTCTAGGATGAAGAATCCCAGCTCTCTCAGTCTCTCCTCATATGAAGGGTGCTCCAGTCCCTTAATCATCCAGCCCCATGCTGGACTCGCTCCAGTATGCTCATCTCTCTTATACTGGGGAACTGGACACAGCAGTGCAGAGAGGAAGGACCATCTCCCTTGCCCTGCTGGCAACACTGTTCTTAATGCAGCCCAGGATGCTGTTGGCCTTTTTTGCCACAAGGGCGCATGGCTGGCTCATGTTCAGCTTGTTGTCCACCAGCATCCCAAGGTCCTTCTGTGACGAGCTGCTTTACAACCAGTCAGTCCCCAGTGTGGGTTTGTGCATGGGGTTATTCCTCTTCAGATAGAATCATAGAATCATAGAATGTTTAGGGTTGGAAGGGACCACTAGTGGTCATCTAGTCCAACCCCCCTGCAGTGAGCAGGGACACCGCTAACTAGATCAGATTGCGTGAACTTCCTGCAAGTGCATGCCGTCCCATCACCCAGGTCATTAATGAAGATGTAGTAAATACTACTGGCCCCAGTACTGACCCCTGGGGTACACCTCTAGTGACTTGCTTCCAACTGGACTTTGTGACACCGATTCCAACCCTCCAGGCCTGGTCATTCAGCTATTTTGCAATGCACCCCACTGTCTACTACTCTAACCCACATTTTGTCAGCTTGTCAATAATGTTATGTTATATAATGGACGTGTCAAAGGCTTTACTAAAGTTGAGGTAAACAACATCCACTGCTTTCCACTTGCCCACCAAGCTAGTCACCTCATTGCAGAAGGCCACCAGGTTGGCCAATCATGAGCTCCCTTTTGTAAATCCATGCTGACTACTCACAATCACCTTTTTGTCCTTCATGACTTTGGAAATCCTTTCCAGGAGGACTTCCTCCATCACCTCCTGAGGGACTGGGCTGAGACCAACTAGCCTGTAGTTCCCCAGAGCTTTCTTCTTGCCCTTTCTGAAGACAGGAATGATATTTGCTCTCCCAATCACCACGATCATTTAAAGATAATCAAGAGTTGCCTCGCAATGGCATCAGCCAGCTCCATCACCACTTGTGGATGCAACCCATCAGGCCATATGAATTTATGTATGTCCAGTTTGTTTAACTGCTCCCTAACCTGGTTCTCCTCCACCAAGTGCAAGTCCTCCTTGCACCAGACTTCCCCTCTAACTTCAGGGGCCTGGGATTACTGAAAGCCATTTTTACTGGTAAAGACTGAGACAAAGGCAGCACTAAGCATCTTGCCTTTTTCCATGTCACTTGTCACCAGCTCCCCTGCCCCATTCAGTAGCAGGCCCACATTTTCCCTAGTCTTCCTTTTGCTGTTTATGTATTTGCAGAGTCCTTTGTTGTTGCCCTTTGCATCCCTCGCCAGATTCAACTCCAGGCCAGATTTTTCCTTCCTACCCCCCTTTTCTGCAAGACAGGACAGGAGCTCTATACACCTCCTGGGTCACCTGCCCCTGCTTCCACCTTCTGTACATTTCCTTTTTATGTCTGAATTCAGTTGGGACCTCCTTGCTCATCCAAGCCTGCCACCTTTGCTTGATTTCCTAATTGTCGGAATCATCCTTTCTTGAACTTGAAGTGATCACTGAGTATCAGCCTGCTCTCCTGGACCCCTCCTCTCTTCAAGGCCATAGCCCATGGGATTCTTCCAAGCAGAGCTCTGAAGAGGATGAAGTCTGCTCTCCTGAAATCCAGGGCTGTAGTCCTGCTTTCTTCCCTGCTCCCTTCTCTTTGAATCTTGTGCTCCATCATCTCATGGTCACTGTAGCCAAGGCTTTCTTTAACTTTCGCATCCCTGACCAGTTCTTTATTCTTCATAAGCATCAGGTCCAGCAAAGCAGCTTTCCTTGTTGGCTCCTCCATCAATTGTGCCACGAAGTTGTCATCAATGCACTTGAGACATCTCCTAGGTGGCTTGAGCTCTTCTGTATTGTCCTTTCATAAGGTATCAGAATGATTCAAGTACCCCCTGAGGACCAGGCCCTGGGAATGGAAGGCTTCTTTAAGTTATCTGAAGACCAGAATTCAGCCCAAGACTAACAGGAATAAAGGCTACCCTTATAAGTCAGGAAGTGAAGAGAGGTATCTTTCGCTAGCAACATGTCAAAAGCGTAAGTGATGAGGCTGGGATAAAATACTTTAGGACTAATAAGAATCGGTATGACTAAC